TGCTGAACCCTTCTTTTCACCATTGATCTGAATTGTTTTTGGAAAAACATTAGAAACCGCTTCATTAGTCACACACACAAACACATCCCTTTTCTTATACAGAGACCCCTGCACAAACATGGCCTGGTCTATGCATGCAGCAGAATGATGTGGCAGAATTTTTAAAATGCCAAAACAAACTGTAACAGACTGCAGGTAGTGGGGGGGGGGGTGTCACATTTTTAATGTTCTCCATGGGAAAAAAAAATCTACCCCTGCTCTTCCCCATGCTGTACTAATTTTCTACTTGCAGGTCATTATTAATTACTACTTTGAAAAACATAATTATTCACCTGCACTCAAAATGGTACAGTCACCACTTTATTCTGTTTCGTGTATAAACATCAGTCCTGTGTCTCCACAGAATACCCACTATTTGCTATTTTCTGAAACAACTACTAAGAGCAGCTGGACGAGAACAGACACAACTACTGAAACGGCAGTCATGAGGAATAAAAGGTCAAATGGAAATGGACACTGTACCACTATGAAAGACATTTAAGATAGAAGTGAACCTGGAGCAAAATCTTCCCTACAATTCATTCTTGATGTCAGACTACTGCTTGTGGAGACTTATACAAACTTCTCCATCCATAGGTCTGTTACTACCTAGGTGCCTGCTAGGGGGAGCGGGGTGCAGCGCCTGCCCTCCCTGGAATTCTAAATTTAGTATTTGGGTTTTTTAAAGTGTACCTGAAACATACACACGTCCAACAGGTCAGATCTACAGTGATCTCTGAGTGACCCTGCCCACCCATCCCCCAAATTATTTCTGCAGATGTCCTTAGCCAATAAACTCTTCCTGATCATTAAGGTCAAATGAATGAAAGCATTGGAAGATGAGTCCTCATTGGAGGAGCAGGACATGCCCTAAGTCTCTCTGGAAGACGTTCCCTGAGAGGCAGATCCCTCAGTGACTCTTTGAAGGGACTTTTCACTGGCACTGACACTGGCCAAGCCAACAGGGCCCAGCATGGACCTGCTCATAGCCAGACCTGCCACATTCTCCCCAGCAGTAGGAAAGGAAAAGAGCTAGGGCTGAGGCCCGGACCAGGAGCGCACACCTGGCAACCCAAAGCCTCCCCTCTGCTGAGGAAGCACCCGAAGAGACCAGTGAGTCCCTGCAGGATCTGGGCCTGCTGCTCCTCTTGTATAGAGGAGCTGACTCAGCTTATGAGATGAGCCTAATGCTGTACCCAATATCACTTGTAGGGAAACTCCCCATATTAAGTCTGCAGGGAGGTGGGAGCTAGTGTGGGATATGCTTGTCTGCAACTTTATCTGCTAAGCTGGTGGTTAACGTGTACTATCTGAATGCTGGAGTATCCTGTCTGGCTCTGGACTTGACTTTGGACTGTGACTCTGGCACCTGGCTGCTGAATTCTGTCTACCAGGTCCTGTTGCTGTGGAACTCTGTTGTTGCCCAGGGCTTCACTCCTAGCCTGGTGAGTAGGGCAGCTGTCTCACTCACCATTTGATTTTTCCCTTTGGAATCCAGGGAAGTTTCTGAAGAGGTTTTCGCCGATACCTTTGTATCATCTTTTGCTTCCTGTTTCTTCAGCTGCAGTTCTTCTTGCCTCTCCTTTTCTTCCAGTTTCTTCCGTACTTCTGCTTCCTCATATCTGGTTAAGAAAAACATTTCGTTTCCCCCCATTTCAATGATGGTTTCACTTTGTCTTATTGCAATTAACAAGCAGTGTTCTTTGAAATAGACTACAATCCTACAGGGTCAAGGGAAGGGAACAACCTAAAATAAAGAGTAACAAGGATCCATGTTACAATGATATAAGATTGTTGATACATCTCTATTATCTTTAAAGCAAAATATGAGAGTTAATAATATGAAAATGTCAAGCAAACAATCACAGTCTCTTTGGCTGTCGTGTAAATATCATTGGATTAAAGTTATGTGTTAAGAATAAACATCAGGCTATCAAATAGTTTAATTTTGGCCCTGGTCACACGGAGCATTAGCCACGCTAGAGAGACGGAAGATTTTCCGGGCGCGATCTCACCGCCACATCTGTGAAGTGTAGAGCTCCCGTGGCGAACCCGAGGCTTTCTACCGAAGATGCGCGGTACTCGGAGGTACTAGTTTCCGGAAACTGCGAGGCAGGTGCGGGCGTCTGATCGCGTTTCCGGTGGTAGTTCCAGCACCTGCCCATGTCCCCTAGCGAAAAAGTCCCCCCCCCAAGTCTCCACAGATGTGCACCAGCACCCAACGGAGCATGCACACATTTTAGTTTAAAAAAAACACACACACACAACTGAGCAGCTCGCTAAGACTTGAGTCGTGCAGAGAAGAGGAGAGCAGCCAGAAGAAACGCAACACAGAGCGCACGGCTTGAGGCGAGAGAGAAACAGATAGGGGGAAAGGGGGCAAGGCAGAAGAGAAAACGGCTGAGGCGAAGCCCAGAAGGGGGGGGGGCTGCGGCGGCAGAGTAGGAAGTCTGCTTGGGGAAGGGGAGGGCCAAGCCGGGAAGAGATGACTAGACACACGGGCGGTGCGAGCGGTGTGTGTGCACAGAGGCTGCAGGATCGGAGCCCCGTGGCCTCGAAGACAGGCGCTGGAGGAGGCAGCGGAGGAGGAGGCGCAGTCAGGGCGGAGGGGGCTGAGCCATGCTGCTTTGCCCTCTTCGTGTGCCCCACCAGCCGGCTCCCCGACTATTGCTCTTACACAACTACTGCCCGCCCCCTGCCTGCCTCACTGGTGGGGACAAAGCCGTGCCCGACGCGACACCGCACCGCCCAGTAGGCCGCTGGCCCCTCCTCTCCCCAGCGCCGCTTGGCCGGCTTTCTCTGGCAGCCCCCTCCTCGCCTTCCCTCGGTGCGCGGCCCCCGCTTCTTTGTCCCGCTTCTTTGCTGCGCCGTGTGATTGGCACCTCCCCCTAACCACGGGACCTCCACGGGAGGTCTGATCGTGCAACCGCGCATTATTTTGCCCCAGGGCAAACAACCACACTTCCCCCCCGCATTTTCTGGCCCGTGTGACCGGGGCCATTGATAGCCTGATGTTTATTTTTAACGCATAACTTAACAATCTTATATCATTGTAAAATGGATCCTTGTTACTCTTTATTTTAGGTTGTTCCCTTCCCCGACCCTGTAGGATTGTAGTCTAGAAAATAAAATAATAATAATAAAAAAAGAAATAAAGTGAACACGGCCTCAGATCTATGTTGCTTGTTGAAGACAGCAGTCAGAGCTGTCTTTCTGGACACTTGACTCAATGGCTGGTCTGGTAAGAATAAGTGACAGTAGTCCTCATGGTTTAAAAACACAAATCATAAATTACTTCGGTTCCATACATATTCAGTTATTTATTTATATACCACCTTTCTTCCCAATGGAGACTCTCTTCCTCCATTTTATCCTTACAACAATCCTGCGAGGTACATATAATGCCCTAGTATGAAAACATATACATTCAAAACTGCACCCGATCCACAAAAAAACAAAAACACTGATTTTTCAATCATATTAGACTGCACTGCAACTTTAAAAGGTGCTGATATTGTGGCCATGATCCTTCTTGTTTAGTATATATGCTAAGGAGTTGCACAGTTACTAGTAGTTTTGGGAGTGGATAATTTCGCTAAGATAAATCTAGTGCTGAGACAGAACTGATAATTGCAGAGATACATGCCCTAATGGGCTATATTCCAAGTCCCCAGAAACGCAAAGAAGCAACTCCACCCAGGATTCTTGGAGTGTTGTTGCTAGCCAAAAGGCTACTATTGCAGGTATGGAAGGTTCTAAATCTTCCATACATCTACCATTGGATAAATCATCGTACTGCCTTAGTTAATTTTGACAGAGTATATTATTGTAGGTTTAACCATATGGACCTCTTTAAAGACATTTGGCTAGCCCACAAAGAAATCATTATCTAAGAACTGTGACAAACTTAATTACTTATCAGATAAGAAGCAGGGACTACAAATGCAGTATCATATCCCATTTACTCTACTCATCCCTTCTCTATCGTTCACCCTTGCATCTAAATATGCTGGTTGAAATATTAGTTCAATAAGTATAGTCACTGGAAAACTATGCCATGTGTCATATCTACTGTAACACTGATTATACACCATACTGAAATGGCTTTCAAGCAGAACTAAGGACATAGCCTGAATTCTCAATGCACAAAATGCTTTCCCCCTGGTTACCTGAAGATATCTTAAGGGACCATCTTTTCTTATATCACCCTACCAAAAAATTCACCTCCTGGTGGTCCCTGGCCCAAAGGACGTCTGCCTTGCCTGTTGGAACATGCTCTCTATTGAGATCAGGGCCCTGCGGGACTTTCTTCAATTCCACAGGGCCTGCAAGACAGAGCTGTTCTACCAGGCCTTCGGATAAGGCCGCGGGCGCCCATATATGGCCTCCCTGACACTCTGTCACCCATTTGACAACAGTTAGCCATTACCAACAGGCCAGGGAACCTCTTGCAGCCAGCTAATTTCTGTCTTTGAACTGTGACCTCCATTTTAATGTTTATTATGTGTTATTATTTTATTTAACATTCTATTATGTGTTTTTAATCATTTTATTGTATTACTGGAATAGTTACCCACCCAGAGCCCGCTTGCGGGAAAGGCAGGCTATAAATACGAAAAATAAAATAAAATAAATAAAAAATAATATCCTCATCTAAGGCCCAGTTGTCAGTACCCAATCTGCTGAACGGAGGGGCAGGGCCTTCTCCACGGTAGCAGACTACTTGTGATACTCCATCCCCCTACCTATACAACTACCCCTTCTTTGTTATTTGTCAGGCTCCAGCAAAAGACATTTCTACTCTCCTGAACTTTCAGTGATTAAGCATCATATGCAACACAAGACTACCTTACTCCTGCATACATACTGTTGCAAGCTTACTGCAACGATCCCAACCCAACAACTTGGCACTGTGCAGGTATGGGTTTATCTCCACAGTTCAATCTATAGCATAGGCTTAATTTTCCTTTAGGCCTTTGTGAACTGCAAAATCAAATACTACCCCTTAGGCATCCATGTTTTAAAAATAACTTAACCTTGCTTGATGTTTTTGACTTCAATAATAACACTAACACAAAAGTATTTTTAGGACATGACATTTCATGTATGACTTCAAAATAAAGTAAAGTACCAAAACTTCAAAGGTGACCGAACTTGCAGAAGGGATGTTAGATAATTAGGATTATTTGAAGGAGAACCTAATTATTTGTACAGTTGCTCATCAAAACAAGAATAACTGGCCAGTGAACTAGTTCACACACAGGCCATCAATGCTTTGTGTACTCTTGTAGTCTCCTTGGTTGGGTGAATATTTCACAGGAATAAGGGGAAAGCCAACCTCTACTAGAAACACAACAAAGATACTATTCTTAATTTTTTTAAAAAAATTGTCCAATCTTTTAAAATACATTACACAAGTAAATAAAAGGTAAAGGTAAAGGTTCCCTTGCTCGAAAGCCAGTCGAATCCGACTCTAGGGTTGCGGTGCTCATCTCCGTTTCAAAGCCGAAGAGCCAGCGCTGTCTGAAGACGTTTCCATGGTCATGTGGCCGGCATGACTAAACACCAGGGCGCACGGAACGCTGTTACCTTCCCACCGAAGTGGTACCTATTTATCTACTTGCAATTTCTTGCTTTTGAACTGCTAGGTAAATAGTACCTAGTTAATCTGAACAATCTCTTTCACTGAAACATCCAATATGGTTCAAGATAACCAAACTGCTCTTTACCCAATAAAAGAAAAATTATAAATTCAGAAACAGTTAACTGAATTTCGAGCAATGGGAACTGAAAACACAAGATTTCCCTTGTTTGTACAACTTGCACATTGGATTTATCATAGAAGAATTCCATGACTATTTTCTTCCTTCTAATGGAAACTGTTGGATCAGCATCTGCACATTAATTCATTTTTAAAGCTAGCTCCTTGCCTACCATACGACAAAAAAGCCAACCAAATTAAAACTTGAAATGGATTGTGTGGAAATGGCTTGCTATTCATTACTTGTTTGCAGTCCAAATACTTTCTTGCACAATTACTTTGAAACAGAATCACACATAGATCCCTCTAAGAGAATTCAAACTCAGTAAGACTGGTACGTTTCAACTGTTCAATAATTATGCCACTTTAACAATCCTCCTCCTTTCCAGCCCACAACCTTCCAACACTTTTAAAGCTTAAGTAGCTCCATACAACAACAGACCAAGATGCGATGCTTATAAGCCAAACTACAAAACTATGCAGGAAACCAAAACATTTTTTTCCCCCTACACGTACTCAATGGTTCAATTTTTATTGTGTTTGTACTGAAAAGAACAATGTGTACAGCCATAAGCATTTGACAGTATGCTTTAACAATATAAGACTTGGTTTATACTCTTATAACAGGATACAGATTATTGAACAAATCAGAACAAGATAAGTGGTATGCACGAAAAATAAACTGATAAGTGTGTAAGTTCATTTTGCTATGGTGTGGCAAATTCTGAAATTCATAAAAATTTCAGAATTATGAAAACTTGGGCCAATGTAATTTACAGCCTTCTAGAGGTTCTGTTCTGAGTATCTTTCCCAGTGCCAATTTGATGACAGCAGCAGCCTGGTAAGTACCCTCAGCTCATA